TCGGCTTTTCCTGACCTTCTGAAGCAAGCACTTTACCCACTGAACCACCGCCCCAGACTCTGTTCAATAATTTAAAATTACTATACATCAATTATACAAATCAATATGCACCATGAAACTTTCATGCATATATAGAATGTGCTCGATTATATTCATCCCTCATTGCCCCCTCTTTCTTTCCCACTCATCCCATCGGCGCCTTCTTCTCCCCGCATAGTCTCCCGTCTACTTTAATGCCTTTGAAACAAAATTCTACATTGTCTACATAAGAGGAAGTAGGTGCTATTTGCCTTTCTGAGTCTGACTTAACAAGTCAGACTCCCTGCAAATGGTGTGGCTCCACTCTTCGTTATGGTTGAAGATCACGTCATCTTTCCTTCACTCATTTATACGTGATCCCATGACTCCATTGTTGGGCACAGTGTCATGGAAAACATGGATGTGCAGGCATTCCGGCTTTACATGGACTTGGACTGCTTCCAGAAGTAGGGTGACTGTGTCATATGGAAGTTATTTTATTAACTTTTATATTGATTTCCAGAGTTGGTAAACTAGTTTACCTTCGAAAACAGTATGTAGGCCCTTAAAATTATTTATGAACATTTATTATTTTTATGAGTGTAGGTATTTTTCCAGTTGCTATGTCTGTGCAGCATCCATGTGCAATGCCCACAGAGGCCAGAAGAGGGCGTTGGAGTTAACACCATATGCATGCTGGGAATCGAACCTGGCTCCTCAGTAAGAACAGCCTGTGCTCTTAACTGCGAGCCATCTCTTCAGCCACAAGGGTTCCTTTTTACCCATGTTCTTGCCTGCTGTTTTGACTTTTGAGACAATTGCACTGAGTAGCACAAGCTAGACTTGAACTTTCCATTTTCCTGCCTGAGGTTCAATGCCTGGCCTATTGTTCGGTTTCTATTTTTTAAATGTATTCTTATTATTTTTTAAATCGTGTGTGTGTGTGTGTGTGTGTGTGTGTGTGTGTGTGTGTGTGTGTGTGTGTGTGTGTGTGCAGGCATGAATGAAGGTGCCCAAAGGGCAGAGGTATTAGATTCCCTGGAACTGAAGTTACAGACAGTTGTGAGGTTTTTAAAAGGGTGCTGGGAATTGAACTTGGTCCTTTGGAAGAGCAGTTAAGTACTCTTCACCACTGAGCCATTGTCTCCCACTCTGTCTGTTTTCTTAAGAACAGCTATTCTGACTGGGTGATCTGGAATATCAATGTACTTTTGACTTGCATTTCTCTGGTGGCTAATTGTGGCTATGTACATTTTTTATGACTCTATCAACAATTTATTTGTACTTCTTTCGAAAATTTTATTGATTTTTTTTTGATTGATTTGGGTTATTTGTTCTTGAGGCATTTAAACTTTTTAGTTCTTTATATTCTAAACATTAATTTCCTATCAGATGAATAGTTGACAGGAATTTTTTTCTTATTCTTCAGGCTCCTCACTCCAGTAATTGATTCCTTTGTTGGACAGCTTTTTAGCTTGACACAATATCATATGTCAGTTATTTGTTTGTTTATTTATTTATCATTTTTAGACAAGCTCTCACCATGTAACTTCAGCTGGCCTGGAATTTTCTAGGTAGACCAGGCTGGCCTCAAACTCAGAGATCCATCCTCCTGTGCCTCCTGAGTTCTGGGATGAAAAGTGTGCACCTGGCCTTTTAAAAAATGTTTTCACTTGTTGGCTGCAACTCATGCAATTGCACAAGTGTGGAGGTCAGAGGACAACTTATAGGTGTCAGATTCCCCTTTCCAGTACACAGATCCCAGGTCATGAGACTTAGTAGCAATCACTTAACACAAACCAGAGTCATTTGGGAAGAGAGAGCCTCTACTGGAGAATTGCTTCCATCAGATTGGCCTGTGAGGAAGTCTTTGTAGCACTTTCTTCCTTAACGATGGATGTGGGAGGGTCCAGCTCACTGTGGATGCTGCCACCCCTGGGCAGCAGTCCTGGGTTGTGGAAGAGAGCAGGCTGAGCCAAAGGCAGGAAGCAAGCCAGTAGGCAGTGAGTGGTGGTCTCTGCTTGTCCCTGTCTTTATTTCCCTAGGCAGTGGAGCATGAATGGCCTGAGAGTTACTGCTGAAATAACCCTTTCCTGCCCGCATCTTTTCTGGCCATGGCGTTTTATCACAGCATTCTCTCTCTGTTCAAGGTTGCCTTTGCGGTTTGGGGTCATTTGTGGCTTTCATGTGGACTCTATAATTATTCTTCTATTTCTGTGAAGAATGACATGGGAATTTTGATGGGAATTGCATTGTATCGATAAGTTGTTTTGTAATATGATTTCTTAATTCTGTCAATCCATGAACACAAGCAGTCTTTATACATTCTAGTACCTTTTTTGTTTTCAGTGTTCTATAGTTTCAGTGTAGAAGTCTTTAACATCTTGGGTAGGCTTATGCATAGGTTTTGGGTTGGTTGGCTGTTGCTATTACTTGGGGGTTGTTATGAATGAGAATGTCTTCCTGACTTTTGTTTTGTTTTTCTAGACAGGGTTTCTCTGTGTAGCCCTAGCTGTCCGGGAACTCACTCTGCAGACCAGGCTGGTCTCACAGAGATCCTCCTGCTTGCCTCTGCCTCCCAAGTGCTGGGATCAAACGCATTGCCATCACTACTCAGCCTGATTTCTTTTTCAATGGGTTAATTATTGATATGCAGAAGTTAGTGAGTTTAGGGCTGGTGAGATGCCTTGGGGGGTAGAGGCTTTACAGCAAACCCCCTGGCCTGAGTTTGAGCCCTCCAGCCTGCCCAGTCCAAAGGAAACTCTAATCCCAAATTCCAAAAGGCGCCCTGATATCCAGAAATGGGCTCACCTGAACTACAGGAGGATTTCTGGCAGTCAGACAGAAGCCAGCATTGCTCAGGAACTTGTGAAGCCTGTTCCTCTACCAAAAGGGCTCATTTCCTTATCTCCGACATGAAACATATGGCTTCTACCCATGGTGCTCAGTAGCATATCAGAGCTCAAGCTGGCTTCCAGGCTCCTTCAGTATCCTAAGTACCTGCTATACCTTTCAGAGTTCATGCTGGCATCCTCGTTCTTCTCACCTCCTCCAGCTCACCGGCTTCCCTCGCTCCAGCTACGCATTCTCCGTACAACCCTGCTATTCTCACTATGCTCTCTCTCTCTCTCTCTCTCTCTCTCTCTCTCTCTCTGTGTGTGTGTGTGTGTGTGTGTGTGTGTGTGTGTGTGTCCCTCTGTCTCCATCTCTGCTTCTCTGTGTTTTCTCTATTCTCTATCCCTTGCTGTTCTTCCCTCTCTCACAGTTAGCCCTGGCCAGGTCCACTCCGCTGGCCATGTTTATACTACTTCTTTCTCTCTCTGCTCTAGACTTTTCCAGATGCCTCGCTCATATCTACAATGAAAACCTTCCCCTTAATCACCCCACGGATGGTTACGCCATCAGTTTATACAAAGCACACATAGTGGAAGGAGAGCTCTGACTCCTACAGGCTTTTCATTGACCTCTACACACGCACTATGGCACCCACACACAAATGCACACATGTACTTGTATAAATCCACACAAATGAATAAATAAAATATAATTAAAAAATAAGATAATTGTGGGCATGATGGCTCTACCTTCTAATCCAAGCTCTTGAGAGGTGGAGGCAGGAAGTTCAGAAGTTCAAGGTCATTCTCAGCTACACAATGAGTTCAGCTGGGCTACATGAGACTTTGTCTTTAAAAGACAAAGGTAATGGGACAGGATGGTCAGGCTGTGGATGGTGGCCTTGTCATAGGGAAGCCAGGACGTATAATCCAGGCTCCAGGTAGAACCAGGGCTCCTACTACAAGCTGTGGAGTCTGAGGCAAGCTGCTTCATTTTTATGTGATTCAATTTTCTATGTAGAATGGGAGGCAAATAGTACTTAACTAGATACTGTTAAACAAAATGAGTGGGCATGCACAGGAGCTGGGGAGATGGTACAGCAGCTAAGATCACTTGTTGCTCTTCTAGAACATAGGTTTAGTTCCTAGCACCCATGATGGGTGGCTCACAGCCATCTGTAACTCCAGTTCCAAAGGATCCGATGCCCTCTTCTGATGTCTTTGAGCCAATGCTCATGGACACACATGCACACCAACACACATGCCTGCATCAGATTTCTCAAGAAAGCAAAGAGGTACCTTTCCCAAGGCAGTCAGTCAGCCTGCTGAAGTTTTCATCCCACACTGAAAGACTCTTACCATTTAAAAGTCCCATGCCACATATATTTGGAAATTTTATTCTTTTTATTGCAAATCTCTGGTAAAGGAAAAGACAGAATAGTTGATTCTCCTTTAAACTTTGGCGAGAAGATTATTCCATTGTCTTCGCTGAATGGCTGGCCTCCCAGTTGCACACCAAAACACTGTGGGGGGGGGGGGTGCAGGTGTTAGGGGCGTGGCATGTACTGATGCTGGTGACTGCCTCCCAGATGCTCTGAATTAATTGGTCTGGAGGTCGTTCAACATCAGTAGCTCTTTAAATTCCCCCAGTGACCCCAGGCAGCTAGGGTGGAGAGTCCCTGCCCCCATTCCTCGTCACACGTGGGCAACATCTTGAGCACCTAGGCGACTCCCCCAGCAGCTGTCACCTGCTTACACCACCTGCTAGGCCAAAGTCAGCCGGTGTCCCCTGTCCCCCTCTTCCCAGGTGTCATCTGTGCTCATCCTCCCCCCTTAGAGCCCCCAAAGGAGAGAGACAAGGAGGGGCGTGGCCCTGTCCTGAGACTTGTGCTTAATCTCTCCATGAAAAGGCTAGCCTAGCACAAAGGGAAAAAATCACTTTCTTAATACCAGTGACTTCTAGGCAGAAAGATCTTCTTATCTAGAGGTGAAAAATATTTGCAGGGAAATGAAGAAATGCATGATGGATACATATTCCTCACATAACCTCTCATGAGTCCAAATGAAAACAAAAGTTGTCGAGCTACCAAGAATAAAATATTAAGTACTTTAGCAGCACACCTCACATGGGTCAACAGTAAGAGCCAGTTAGAATCCCATTGTGATTTATTCTAGAAGTAGAAAATCATTTTTATTTTCCTGAGTCCTTGCAAATGAGAGAGGAAAGGAAAAGACAAGGAGGTGTTCTGGAAACTTGTAAGTGCTCTTGCTGTCTCTCCTGGGATGCCCTCACACTTTCACACAAGTGACTTCTGTCAGCTGTGACAAACTCACAGGTGAGCAAATAGCACGGGCTCAAGTCTTCAACAACTCAAACATGGTGACTGGAAAGTAAAACATCTACCAACGTGCCAGGGCGTGTCTCTTCACGGTATGATAAATGTAGCATCAGTTCGACTCTCTGTCCATACAAAAGCGTGTGTAGCTATTCCATAAATGATGCCAATTGAGGTCCATCATGACAGTGATAAAACTGTTAGGACATTAAAAAAAAATACATAGGATCCCAGTTTTACAATACAACCCTGATGTGTTTACCACACTTTCTGTTTTGTTGATTTTTTTTTTTAAACAGGGAAACAGTACAGTGATGTGATAAAAAAAAAAAAAAAAAACAAGGCACAAATATACAGTTACAACAAATGTCTATAAACCCTACCATGTAGTATCTATTTGGGAAATATTTAGGTAAATTTCTGAAAAATTCTCACATTCATTACAATTGATGAACAATTAACTGTGCAATAAACAGACTGCTTAGCCACCATCCCATTATTAAATATATGGCTACTGGCTACACCAGCTGTGAATGGTTCCAAAAATAGCTTTAAATATTAAAGGCTGATACATCTAGGTGGATATAAATATTGTGCCTTGTGGGATCTAGATAAATGTCGTTAAATTTCCACTTAATTTGTAATCTATGTGGCAGTTATCAATTTTAAAAAACTATTTATTATATAAATGTGAAGGTTTTCTTCTCCCAGTGTTAAATCTCTTCTCTCTACAAAAGACAGGTGATTTACAAGAAAATAACCCAACGTTTAAAAAAAAAAGTGCATAGACAACAGTAATACAATCCAGATGTGGGCTTAAAGCTGAACTCTAATCTACCAGGACTCTCTTAATGTAGGGTGAGGAGCATCACATACCTGTAGCAATTCATTAATTTCTTAATTTAAAAAAAATCACCATGGCAGTTTTTTTTTTTTTCAAAATAGTAGTCTTGGCTAGAGCATCAAGCATTGAAAATAAATTCTTTTCATTCATAAAAGCCTTTCAAAATCTGAGGGCATAGGGCTCAACTGCACTTAGATAGGGAAATAGAGTTGTAAAAATTGTATTTAAGGTTTTTAAATAAAGGGTGTTTTTAATACCGAAGGTAAACAGTTAGACCCATGAGAACGCGTTTCTTGGCACATGCACACCCTGGATGGAATCCAGAATGCAGCCGCGGTCCGGCTGCTGAGGTGTCTGGCTCTTAGCCTATGGGAATCTCCTGTCAGGTCCCAACCCTCTTCACATGGAAGTTTCTGGCTTCTGCATCTGCTGGATCTGTTTCTGTAGCTGGTCCCTGTCCAGCTTCATCTTGGCCTCCAGCACTTGCCTGAGGGATCCTATGCTTTCGTAGATGGCTGTAAACCCTTGAGGAAGAGGCAAACATCACAGGAGTTAACAGTTTACAAGCAGTGTCTTGCCAGGTTCTTCAGCAAGAGTAATGGCTGCTTCTGACAAGTGCGGAGACTCTAGGGGTCAACCCTGGATGGGGACTTCATGAAAACTGCTTTTTAATTACAAAGGGGACTATTGCAGACAAGAAATATGGTGGATGTTGCTTTCATCACGTGATCAAAGCTCACACCACTATCACTGAGAGAAATCACAGCTTGTACCTGTGATCAGATGGCCAGAGCAGGGTGTCCACTGGGCTCAGCCAGGCATGGTGGTGTATGCCTGCATTTCGGTACTTGGAAGACTAAGATAAGTCTATGAGTTTGAGGCCAGCTTGCTCTACATAGCTACTCTCCCCCCCCCCGCCCCCCAGGGCTTCTCTATGTAACAGCTTTGGCTATGCTGGAACTTGCTCCATAGATCAAGCTGCCCTCGAACTCACAGAGATCTGCCTGCCTCTGTCTCCAGTTTGCCTGGGATTAAAGGTTGTGTGCCACCACCATGAGGCTAGACTCCATCTCAGAAACAAAACAGCATCACAGAGGAATTGATCCAGATACGCAAGACTAAACAAATGAGCATAAGAACTAACGACTGTGTGTGGTCCTGGATTTGAATTGTAATGGGACGAAGAACTCAGAATGTGGCTCAATTGCTAGAGTGCTCACCTAGCATGCACAAAGTCCTGGGTCCCATCCTAATAAAGCGCCCCATTAAACTGGGCTTAGTAGCGTGCACTTGTGATATAAGCATGCAGAAGTTGGGGGCAGAAGGATCGTAAATTCAAGGGCATCCTCAGCTACATAGTTTGAGGCCAGCCTGGATCAAAGGACTAATTGAGAGAAAAGGAGGAAGGGAAGGAGGAGGGGAGGGAGAGGAGGAAGTATAAGGGAAGGTATTCAGCATCACTCCTCAGGAAGCACAGCTACAGTGGCTGAACTGTCACTAAGGCTTGTTAGGAAGGCTATGAGCAAGAGGAGACTAAGCAGCACTGAGGACATGGTGACGGGACTTAAATACAGTGTAGTGAAGGCCCAGTGTGGTGGACTATGCCTTTAATCCCAGCACCCGGCAGGCAGAATTCTGGGCCAGCCTGTGTACAGTGAGTTCCAGGCCAGCCTGATATACATACGTACACACATTTAAACAGTCCTAGCTGGGGTGGAAAGCGGTGGAGACCCTACAGACATTAAAGCAGAGCTACCCTATGACCCAGCGATGCCACTGCTGGACACACACAGAGGAGGAGGACACAAGTACTTCATAGAGCCCCTCACCTGGTGTGTCCCCACCATTTTTGTCTACTTTTGGGGGGGCAGGGTGTTTTCAAGACAGTCCAGGCTGTCCTGGAACCCTTTTTGTAGACTGTGCTGGCCTCAAACTCACAGATTCACCTGCCTCAGTTTCTGCCTCTGTGCATCTGTGCCTTTTTTTTTAAATTATTTTCTTTTATTTTTGAGACAGGGGCCTCACTATGTGACGGCTGAGTCACCCCTCCAGCCCTGGCACTCTGATGCTTAGTGCAACATTACTCCCTAGAACTGAGGCACAGAGGCAACCTAAAGTGTCTGTCAAGAGATGTGAACAAAGATGATGCAGTATGTGTGTACGCCATCAAAATGGTTCAGCCTCACAAAAGAGCAGGTCCTGCTGTTTGTCACAACACAGCTGAGACTAGAGAACACTGTGCTAAATGAAGGAAGACACACACACACAAAGAAATGCCGCATGGTTTCATATGGTGATTCAAAGGGGAAAGAAACTAAATACATAAAAGCAGAATAAAATGGCAGATACCAGGGGCATGATGTAGGCAGATAGGGAGTAAGGAGACTCAGGTCAAAGGGTAAAAATAGCACAATACATAAAACGAACAAGTCTAGAGATCTAATATACATCATGAGGAAAATTCAATATATTGTCTTTGGGGTTTTTGCTGAAAGAGCTGACTCAAAGTATACATGAATACATACACATAGATATGCACACATACATACACACCATACATACATACATACACAATATATACACACATATACATAGCACACACAAGACACACAAACACATATACCATCCCCACCATGGGAGATGATGTGTGGGTTAATTTATGTGCAGTCACCATTTTGTTACATATATCAAAACACAGACTTTAAATATACAAATAAACATTTTTTTAATCTAAAAAATGTTTGAGAGCTGAAGAGATGTTTCAATAGTTGCCCTGGCTAGTTTTATGTCAATTTGACACAAGCTACGGTCATCAGAGAGGAGGGATCTTCAACTGAGAAAATGCCTCCATAGACTGTGCTGTAGGGAAACCTGTAGGCATTCCCTTAATTAGTGATTGACAGCAGAGGGCCCAGTCCATTATAGGTGGTGCCACGCCTGGGCTGGTGGTTCTGGATTCTATAAGAAAGCAGGCTGAGGAAGCCATGAGGAGCAAGCCAGTGAGCAGAACTCCTCCATGGCCTCTGCATCAGCTCTTGCCTCCAGGTCCTGCCTGACTTCATTCAGTGATGAACAGTTACATGGAAGTGTAAGCCAAATAAGCCCCTTTCTTCTCGAGATGCTTTGGTCATTGTTAGTATTCAGACATCTGTACTGGCTTGCCCTTGGGGTTCTGACAGGATCTGTCCTCAGCTGCAGCCCCTGAGCACCACCTGTGCACATTCACTACATTCCCTTCTAAAAGAGCCCTGCCCCGTTCACTTCCTCTCTCTGTTTCTGTCTCTCTCCCCTCTCTGTCTCTGTCTCCCCCCTCTCTGTTTCTGTCTCTCTCCCTTCTCTGTCTCTGTCTCCCCCCTTCTCTCTGCTGTCCCTCTGTCTCCTCCCCGCTTTCTGCCTCTTCTTCTCTTCTGCTGCCCCTGTCCCCAGAGGCCAGTCTTCCCCCTTCTCTCCCCCTTTCCCCATTCCATTTCCCTTAATAACAATAATAAAAACATCCACATGAGCTCTGTTGAATGGTGTTTTTCTGTCTCATTGTGCTGCTTTTTTTTTTTAATTATAATAGTCATGGTGTTTTATCACAGCAATAGGACCCCTAGCTAAGACAGTGGTTACGAACACTGCACTGCTCTATCAGAGGACTGGAGTTCAGAGCCCCACAGCCACGTCAGGTGGCTCACAAATGCCTGTTGCTCCTGCTCCTAGAGATCTAACACTCTCCTTCTGGCTTTCATGGGTGTACATATACACATACACACACACACACACACACACACAGAGAGAGAGAGAGAGAGAGAGAGAGAGAGAGAGAGAGAGAGAGAGTAAGAAATCTTTTGAATGAGATTTTGATTAGGAAAAGGGTGGGAGAGAGTGGACTCCACACCCGTGTACCATGTGCATGTGGCCAGCAGTGCAGAAGTAACCCTCAAAAGTGCCTCAGACATTCACCCATCTTGGCCATGAACAGAAAGGAATCAGCAGGTGGCAGAAAAAAAAAAAAGTCTGCCTTAGCAGGTTAAGCATTTTGTTGGCCTGTGTCTCATGGAGATGCTTCACACACCTGCAATTGAACTAGTATCTTAGGTCTGGGAGTTTAGCTCACTAGCAGAGGGCTTGCCTAGCAAGTGTGAGGAGCTGAGTTTAAGTTGCAGCATACAATAAGTAAATGAATTAGGTAGCATCTTTGTTTAATACTGCCCAGATACTTAGAAAAGTAACTAAAGACATTTCACTGTTTTGTTTTGTTTTTCTAGCAAGCTCAGTCTCAGTTTCAGGAGGAATCGCAATGAATAACTTTTTAGATAAAAGAGCCACACTAGCTGTGGGGTTTGGGCCTACCAGCATTGACCTCTGCTTTCATTTCCTTCATGTCCTCGCTCATCTGTAACTCCAGTTTGCTGATCCGCCCGTGCACCTTCTCCTCTTCCGGCTTCGCTCTCTGTCCTTCCACGCTCTTCTTCTGACTCTCTTCGATTTTGTCAAGCCTGGCCGACATCTGGCTGAGTTTCTTCTCCATGTCTCTCTCACTGGCTCCCTGGGGTCCATGGTAAGAATTACAATTGGTTATTGCAACAGAAGACCATAGGCCTTGTCTCACACCCACCATAGCACTTAACATCTGCAGGGACCAGACCACAATGGCTTCTTATTGTCCTTCATGTGTCCATTCTCAAAGGTCACCCAGAGTAAAAATCTGCATTTCCTTCTGTCCCCTGAGTTTGGTGTGGCCATGTGATCTAGCCAATGAGGTGTAAGAGTAAGTGCATGTAAATGCCTCCAGGGAAAGTTAAAATTCACTTGCTGTATATCCTTAGTTTCCCTTCTTCCCTTCTGTTTCTACCATTCAGTCAATGGCTAGAGGCCTTACAGCCATCCTGAATCCTGAATCTCTGAATCTCTGAGGCTGGCAGAAAACTAACATAAAAAGATTCTGGGTCTCCGAAGACTTACAAGCTCTCACCTCAAGTCTGTCCTGAAAAACTGCACACCTGGATCTGTTTTACATAAGAGAGAAGTAAGCTAACATCTTAGTGAACCTACCGTTATCATTGGAGGTTACTGTTAGCTTAGGCCAATGGGAAAAGCAAACAGTAAAACGAACTCCACAGATGGGCCAGGGTGTGTCAAGGCAGGGGAAGAGTCAGAGGAAAGATTTGAACTGCTGAGCATTTCCTTGTCCTTGTCCTGTGCCTGTGTTTTGTGAAACTCTGCATCCAGGGGCTTTACTGGCCAAACTATGAACACCAAGCCCTTATCAGGTGTGACATGACAACGTTCCTGTGCTGGCATTGACACAGAGCCTACAACTCAACACCTGGAGCAAGCAGTCAGACACCTGGACCGGCAAACCACACCAGCCACTTCTGCTCAGTCAAAACCCCATGGGAGGAAGCCAGGCAAGAAAAGAGAATCCAGCACAATTTGCCTGTCTAGCACTGGTTTCCAAACCCACTGGTTTTAAATTTCATAAAGGCAAGACCTTCTGAAGATATCTGTTGGCAGTTCTGCAAACCTTTGCTCTTTGAGAGAGGGGGTGGAAGCGGAAGTGGATGGGAAAATGGTGGGCTCTGACCTGTTGCCTGGGGAGAGCGAAGGCACACTGATGTTACAGTGTGTTGGAGGGGCCTAGAGGGACTCAACACTGGTGAAAGCAAAAGTTAAGTCACAACATTAAAAACAAATATAAAAACAGGATCAAGTACGGAACCAATAGCTTTCTTTAGAAATGTGTGGTAGACAACTGCATTTATTAAAGTTGTGACTTAAAAAACATTAATTGAAATGTTATTTGCTCTTTGTCAACCAACATAAGTCAAAGCACTCCCTGTCTTTATGAAGCATATGAAGGGCAGGGGATGAGAGGGCATGGCTGGGTGATGATTTTCAAGATTAGCAGATGTAATGGTCAGTGCTAATTGTTAATTTATCAGAATCTAGAACCAACCAGGAACCAGGCCTCTGGGTGTACCTGAGGGGGTTATTTTGATTTGCTCGAGGTAGAAAGACCCAACCCTTGTGGGTAGTGGCTGGGACCCCAAACTGTGTAAGTAGGAAGAGAACTGAGCACTAGCCGGTATTCACGCCCTCTGTTTCCTGTAATGAATGCCACATGACCAGCTGAAGTGTACCCTTGACCCGTGGACCAGAATAAACTTCTTCTCCCTTAAGTTTCTTTTGTCAGAATATTTACTTTCTCTTAGCAACAGGAAAAGAAACTAAGCAGGTATGAGAACCCGGGTTTGATCTCCAGAACAAAGGAAGGAAGAGAAACAGAAAGGGAAAATGGGAGAGGAAGAAAGGAAAGAGAAGGGAGGAAAGGAATGTGGAAATTGTTCAAAAGTGGGAATGCCTGAACAGCTTTGGGTGGTGCCAAATTAACTTGGGCTAAGTCTTTAGGTTCTAGTGAGACTTTGCAGGCCTCCAACGAGTACCTGTTATTGAAAAACATCAACACCTACACTGTTTTCCTTAACAATCAAGGAAAGATGATCAATTTTCTGTAGAAGTTCTTTCTCTATCCGTTCTTGTTCTTGTTGCAGCCAACTCCGTGCAGATAAAATCTGGTTGCTGAGCTCCTCAACCGTACCTTTAAATCTGAAACAATAACAAAAGAAAGGAAAGAAAAGGAGCATAAACAAGCTGAATGTAAAACAGTTTTAAGTAACATTAAACAGTATCAATTCAATGACAATGGTGTGCTTACCTTCTCTCAGGACCACAGGCAATGTGAAGCTGGCGGAGGAGGGAAACATACAACAGAAAAGCATCTGATGATGCTCCTACCCACAGGAGCTGGCAGCACAGGCACTGAGGTGACACAGTAATAGAGATGCCAGGGGCTACTAACCTTTGCAGTTCTAAGGGTCCAAGTTCTCCTTGCTCAGAGGACACACCATCCTTCATCTCCTCTATCAGAATCCTCTCCTTACCTGCGCTCTTCCTCCTTGTATCTCCCAGGACTAGAGGCTAGCTTGTTTTCTCTCTCATGTTTCCTATCGCTTTTTCCCCATGTGGACAAAGCCTAATTTATACCAGCAGGAAATAAACTAGGCATAATGGAACATGCCTGCAATCCCAGCACTCGAAAGGTAGAGCCAGGAGGACCAAGAGTTAAAGGTCATAGTGAGTCCAAGACCAGCTTGGGCTACTTGAGACTTTGTCTCAAAACAAACAAACAAATAAAGGAAAAATCAGAGGTAAAATGGAAAGTACCCCTACCACAATCCACTCCTCGAGAGCCCTCCCTTCCCACGGTCCTTAAAATAACTATCAATGCATGCTACTTCCTTTAATCACCTTCTTGTTTGTATTAACATAAGATGAAAGTTTAGAATATACAAAGATGTGTGTATATGTGTAAAAGATGTAGATGTATGATTTAAATAATAACAGGAATACCCATTAAAGTCACTAATTGTTCTGAAACATCTATTATTTCTTTCTTATATAGGGAGTCTTCACATGTCACTGGAGTACATGGTTATCTAGTCAGTGATCACATTTACTAGCTTCCCTTGCAGCTAGGTCTATGTGATGGTTAATATTCTGTATCATCTTAACTGGATTTGGAATCACCTAGGATACACACCTTATGTGTGAGGGCATCTCCAGAGGGATTTAACGAAGAGGGAAGACCCACTCTGAATGTGTAAAACACCATCCTATGGACTGGGGTCCCAAACTGAATAAAACTGAATAAAAACGGGGGAGAAGGAGTATATGAGCACCAGCATCCATCTCTTTGGGCTCTGACTATGGATGCGATGAGACTAGGCACCTCATCATGCTCCTGCTACCACATGTTCATCACCGTGGTGGAAGTTATCCCTCAAACTGTCATCATCATCCCTTATGTTGCTTTTCTCAGGTCTCAGCAATGAAAAAAGTAAGTTACAGTGCAGTGCACCAGTAAGGCAGGTGATCGGCAGTGCAGAAAGGAGAGAAGTGCATGGCTCTGGTCAAAACTGAGCTGTTAACCTGGACTTTCCCTCTGTAGCAGCTGGGGAAGAGCAAGGACTGGAGCTGTTGAGGCTCCATGCTGAGTTGTCAGAGCTGCCCTATCTGTCCCGGAACACTGACCACAGAACACTGAACCATCCTGCAGCTGAACTAATACAGTTATCTGTACAGACTGTACAGACACTGGCCACTACCAGGACTTAGAAAACCCAGCCTATCACATGCCCCCCCAGAAGTTAGCATGACCAGGATTGCTATTCTTTACCAGTGCCTTCCTCTCAGGACTCTAGTGTTGATGTCAGGCTTGCTTGGATGACCAATCCATTTTAAAACATTCTTTAGGGAGTTGGGAAGATAGCTCAGTGGGTAAAACCTTTGCTGTGCAAGCATGAGGACCTGAGTTCTAATCCCCAGAACCCATGTAAATCCAGAGGCTGTCTTCAATTCCAGCATTCCTATGGCAAGATGGGAAACAGAGATAGGAAACCCCAGAAGCTCTCAGACCATCTAGCCTGGAATACACGATGGTGAACAACCACGGATCCTTTTTCAAGGTGAGAATCAATAATACCCCAGGTTCAGTATGGCCTCCACCCCTCTACCATGGTATGCACTCACACAGAGAGATTGTTTTTAAGGTGTTTTTTCCCTAATACTGGGGAATGAATTTACGGCCTCACTCATCCTAGACAAGTACTTTAGATACTTAGCCATACCTGCACGTTCCTTTCCCTAAAAGTTAACAAACAAACTCATGTGGAGAATTTAGCGGAACCATTATTTAGCCTAACATAACCACACACCCCGCTTAAAAACTTATCTGACACCTGGCCTTCACTCCATAAACTGTAGGCTCTATGGGATTAAGAACAAGGTCTGTTTTGTTTCGTTTTTTTCCTTCATTACCAGATCCATGGCCTCTAGGCAAGTGCTTGGCAAATACATACTAGGGGCAGAGAAGACCACTCAGTGGGTAAAGTGCTTGCTGCACAGACATGAGTACCAGAGTTTGGATGCCTGGAATCCACGAGAAAGCTAGACATGGCTCTCGTCTATAACCCCAGCACTGGGGAGATAGAAAAAGAGTCTCATGGCCAGTTAATCTGGCAGAATCAGTGAGAGACTCTGCCTCAAAATAATAATAATAATAATAATAATAATAATAATAATAATAATAATAATAATGTGAATCGAGATAGAGGAAGATGCCCAATGTTGACCCTCACCTATTGTTTTCACTGTGTGTGACAAATAAAAACCAAGAGGTGAGCAGGACAGATGACTCAGCAATTAAGAGTGCTTGCTGTTCTTCCAGAGGATGGGAGTTCAGTTCCCAGCATCCATATCCAGCTGCTCACAACCACCTGCAAATCCAGCTCCACGGGATCCAATGCCCTCTTCTGGTCTCTGTCAGCACTGCACTCACATGCACATAACCACACAGACATAAATGAAAATCAAAATAAATCTTTAAGGCAGACAAAATTTAAACATTATATTTTTAAATAAAATCAAGAAGGAGAAAATGTGAATGTCATGAGTTCAGAAAGAACTTGAGAAAACCATTTACAACCTGATGACTTACTTAGTGTCCAGGAGCTGAAGCTGGTGGCTGCTGTCTCTGTGGGACATCTTCAGTTTGGTGCTCTGCTCTGAAATGGACAAGTCTACTCTGCTCAAAAGCTGAGATATCTGGAAAGGAAGATTGGATTATAAAGATCTCACATCATGTCTTCAGAGGTCATTCCAGAGACATGTCCTTTAGGAGTTTGCCTCCTCTTTCCGTGTGTGTGTGTGTGTGTGTGTGTGTGTGTGTGTGTGTGTGTGTGTGTGTATGAACATATGGAGGCCAGAAGTCAACAAGAGTTACCTTAATCACTCTCCACTTTATTTTTTAAGGCAGGGTCTCTCACTGAACATGGAGCTCACCTATTAGGTAGAATGTTTGGCCAGTAAGTTCTAGGGAGTCACATGTCTCCTCTGCCCAGTTCTGAGTATACCACAGTGTCCAGCTTTTTAAAAACACTTTTCTAGATTATTTTATTTTATATGTATGAACGTTTGCCTGAATGTATGTACACTACATGTATGTCTAGTGCCTGAGGAGGTCAGAAGAGGGTGTCAGATTCCCTAGGACTGGAGTTACAGTTGTGAGCTACTATGGGTACTAGGAACTGAACTCAGGTCCTCTGGAAGAACAACATGAGCTCCTAACTGCTGGACCATTTCTCCAGCCCCCCACAGTGAGCAGCGTTAAGTGGATGCTGCAAATCCAAACTCAGGCCCTTTTGTGTGTGTTCATGGGCACTTTAACTCTGACCCCATCTCGCTAAGGTACTTTAACTATGACACCATCTACCTAGGCACTACCTTTGTTTTCTTTTTAGCACACCCAGAAAAAATCAAGACGAGGGCATTGCCAAAATAATCCTCATGCAATGAGTGTTAAACCACACAGCTCTCTCATGAGCAAGCCCAACTCCCGCCCAGGGCTGGCCCCTCCACCAGCTGTCCCGGTGTGCAGCCATCACTACCTTGGAACTCCACCAGCACTGTGGGTGCCAGTCATAGAAGGTGGAATTTCTACGGATTGCAAATGCATCATGGCTCCAAATGAGCATCCTCATCAAGTGGAACCCCAGAGAAGACCCTGTGTACTACATCCCTCTGCTTCTTTCTCCATCATCGCCTTGTGGCCCTTATTTTTATTTGGGTTTTGTTTTAACATTACAATTTAATGTTAAACTAGTCCTGCATGAAATAATCACATTTTCCAAAAAGTTAAATGTTGTTCAACATTCCTACTTAAAGGTTCATGATATATGTAAGGTCTGGATCAATAACAACAACAAAATAACAATGCATCTTTGGGTGGATCTCTGTGTTGTACTCACCATGGCTAATGGGAAGCATCTATTTTCTTATGAAATGATCTGATTCTCACCCACCCAACCCCAACCATACCCACCCATCCCCCATGCACCCCATCCACCCCCACACCAGTACTAGGAACTGAACCTCAAGCTTCGTAAACACTAAGCAAACAATGGGTGCTAAACTATGTCTTAGCCTTGTCTTTAAGCTTATTTTTATTATTTAATCTCGTGTGTGTGTGTGTGTGTGTGTGTGTGTGTGTGTGTGTGTGTGTGTAGATGTGTACATGCCATAGCTCCTGTGTGGAGATCAGAGGACAACGTGTGGAAATCAGTTCTGTCCTTCCATTATGTGGGTTCCAGAGCTTGGATTCTGGTCATCAGGCTTGGTGGCGAATACCTCTACCTACTGAGCCAGCTGTCTTCACTTTTTATTTGGAGATATCTAAATTGCTCAGGTTGGCCCAACTCACTCTTTAGCCAATACTAGACTTGAGTGTGGGGTCCTCCTGCCTCAGTTTCCAGGCTATCAGGGATTATAGACCTGTGCTGTGAAACCAAGCCCCATTCATATTTAAAAACAAAACAAACAAACAAACAAAAACAGCTGGGCAGTGGTGGTGCACACCTTTAATCCCAACACTCGAGAGGCAGAGACAGGCATCTCTGTGATTTTGAGGCCAGCCTGGTCTACAGAGTGAGTGCCAGGATAGGCTCCAAAGCTACACAGAGAAGCCCTATCTTGGAAAAAAAAAAACAAAAACAAAAAACAAAAACAAAAACAAACAAAAAAAAAACCAAGCAAACACAAAAACTAAAGACATGCATGTCTTGTTTTGTTTTTTCATAAGTAGCTTTGGTTCCTTGCTGAAAAGAGTTGAAGGGGTAAGCACTTTTTATTCAGTAAATTACCCAAATGCTCCTGTTTTTCTAGAGTAGTCTCTGGATATATAAGCAATAGTAGATAAGACAGATGCTGTGGGAAAGTCCTAGGAGGCTAGCCCTGTTACCACAAAGGGAAGCTTGTAACAAAAACCACCAAACAATAAAAATCTGATGAAGTAGGGGCTGAAGAGATGGCTCATAGTCACCTGTAATCCAGCTCCAGGGGGAATCCAAGGCCTCTGGCCTCTGGGAGCATCGCACCACCCACCCACCCACCCACCCACACACCACATACACACACACACCCCCAAACTGGTTAAATGCTGAGAGTTTTGTTCTGTGGAGTATATTATGAATTTGAAGGTAAAATGTCAGCTTACTCTCTAACTTTGACCTAACTGGGTCCCACACACAGACCACATTAGCACATGCAATGCAGCCCAGTCAGTAAAGAACATACATCCTGAATCAGACACTTCCAAAGATAGCTTGAAAAGCTACCCTGGGTCACTCACCTGTGTGAGAGGTAGTTTGGGGGTTATAATTTAGAATTGTTTTGTGAATAAGGGGAAAGTATCTTTAAATTGGCCCTGCACCAAAGCTCTCTGTGATCTGGCTGCTGGATTCATGAGGGGTCACTCCAGCAAGTCAGAGGCAAGGAAGACAGAAAGGGCTGAGGATTTATATAAACCCACACTGGGAACTGCTGGCTGCCCTGCAACAACCAAGCAGCACCTGGTTCTTAGCTGAGAACAAACTCTCCCCTTATAAGGTGTCTGCTCGGCCGGCCATACCTGTCCTTCTGCATCCTTGATTTTTGTCTCCAGGATCAGCTTGGCTGCTTGCTGTTCCTTGTTCAGGTGCTGGAGCCCCTCGTAGGTTGTCTTATGCTCTGCGGAGAGTCTGGCTATGCTGGCGTCACACCTATCCAGGCAAACCACACACTCATTAAAGTTGAAAAGCCCATGGGATAGCTGCCCTGCTATTTCATACTGTAAAATACTTCATGAGATGCAAAGTCTCCTCGGAAACTGAGCTTCTGGGCTGTGGAGAAGGCTCAGACAATAAAGCAGGAGGAACGACCCGATCCTCAAAAATGCATGTTTAAGAAAAGCCAGGTGTGTGCAGGACCCTGTGGTTTAGAGTATGTACTGCTCTTGCAGAAGACCTGAATTCAGTCTCCAGCATGCAGGGCAGGCAGCTCACCACACAGCCTGTATCTCCAGTCCAGGGACCCAATACTCAGGCCTCAACAGGTACCTGAACTCGAACGCACACCTACACATAATTAAAAATAATAAAAATATTTTTAAGCCAGGTGAGAGACGGTGTACACTTGCCATCACAGTGCTGTGGAGGCAGGGATAGGTAGATCTTCTGGGCTCACTGGCTGCCAGTCTAACCTAGTTGGTAAGCTCAAGGCCAGCAAGTGATCCTGTTGTTTTGTTTGTAAGTGGCTGGTGAGATGGCTCAGAGGATAAAGATATGTATGTCTGGGCCCAAAGACCTGAATTCAATCCGTGCATCCTGAGAGGCGACAGGAGAAAACTAACCCCACCCCCCACCCTCCCACCCCCCGTAATTGTCCTCTGACTTCCACACTGGCTCCATGGTGCTTTCATGTCTACGTACCTGAAGATGCACATGTGCACAGACACAAAGGTTGGGGCCAGCAAGATGATTTGTTGGGTAAAATGCTTACTGTGCAAGTCTGAAGATCTAAGTTCAATCTACAGAACCCACACAGTGGAAGGAGAGAACTGATTCCACAATTGTGCCCCCCACCCCCACCCTCGCCCAGACAAAGGTGTATGCACTATGACAGAGAGCGTGAGAAGTGGGTATCAGCAATGGAAGGGAGAAGGAAGGGACTTAGTGTCCCCACCCCTGATTTCAAGAATGGTGCCAAGACAATCTGGTGAGGAGTAGAATGGACTTTTGACTGATGTTGAAAAATAACTAAGCATGCGAAAGAATGAACTTGGAACCCTACCTCACACTATGTATAAAAAGCTACCTTTCTCAGGGCTGGTAAGATGGATCAGTGGTCAGGAACACGTTCAGAAAACTGGGGTTCCGTTCACAGCACCCACAAAGGGCTGTGCACAACCACCTTTAACACCAGCTCCCAGGGACCTGGCACCCTTTTCTGGTCTCTGCATACATATGGTACACATACTTGTATGCAAACAAAATACTCATACACATAAAATAAAAATGATTTTTTAAAAAATGTAAACATACAGAGCCTCATAAACAAATATTCTCAGCTGCATTATTTATAATAGACAAAAAGTAGAAACAGCACATCCACTCAATTTATAAAGAAACAAAACATGGTGTTTCTTAACCATAGAAAGCAATGACGTACTGACACACTTTACAAATGAACCCTGAAATCACTACACTAAGTTTAAGAAGCTAGTCTTAAAGAACCAAGTGTTAGGTATGGGTCCACTTAGAGGAGACACCTGGAGAGGCAAATCCTGGAGACAGAACTTTTTGGTTGCCATGGGTAGGGGCTGAGGAACTGCAATGCCAAGGGGTTTCTTTCTGGTGTGTTTAAATGTTCTATGATTAATTGTGATGTCTGCACAGTGAATATACCAAACTTACTGAATTGTATGCTTTAAAGTTTAATTTTAAGTCTTCCCACCACCCCGGTGTGTGTGTGTGTGTGTGTGTGTGTGTGTGTGTGTGTGTGGTCTCCATGTGAATGCAGTTCCTGCAGTTTGGAAGAAGGTGTCAGGTCCCCTGGAGCTAGAGTTACAGAGAGTTGTGAGCCACCTGATCCTGGAACACGAACTTGGGTCCTTTGGAAGAGCAGCAAACACTCTTATGTGCTAAGCCATCTCTCCAGCTCCTCCACCCCATTGTTGCTTATATGTAAATTATGGATCATAAAATCTCCACAAATGTAAATAAAATTATATACCATGAAATAAAAACAAATATTAAAATATCATAAAATTGTATAACATAAAATAGAGAAAATAGAGGAAGGGGGAATGAAGAAGAGAGCCGTTGGTGAAGGCCCCAGTGTTACCCACTCTTTTTCCCAGTCTGCAGGTGTTGGGAGCTTATGCCTTGGCATGTGGATATTTTCCCTCTGTCACTCTGCCACCAGGCACACCCCACGCCCTATCAGAGAAGAAAGAGAATGTGGCCACCGAGTTTCGGGGAAATGCAGACAATGTGCCAAACACAGGACCAAACATTTCAGTAGGAACTGGGAAGCTAAAAGGGAGATTTTCTTCAGGAAGAAATGGACAACTCTCTGGCCACATCCTATGTGAGGTGCACTAAGATGAGCCGGATGAATGTCCCTCACCTTCAAGGAGAACCTGCCTCACCTAGATCCACAAGTGAGAGATGAGGAGCTGTTTGCTGTTAACTGTATTACTAACCGATCCATAAGAACTACACTTTCAAATGGGAAATTACATGGCAGCGTAGTGACTTAGTAATACCGCTTTAAAAGCTAGACTTCTTCAACGCAATTATGTAATCGATGCATGAAAGGCAAAATCTTGCCAAAGAGCTTTTATCTCACATGAATTCATCTCACTTGAATTCATCCGAGAGGAAGACCAAACAAGCCCAGAATATCAGGTGCTTATAGCAAATAATCTGGGCGGGGGTTGGAATCAAGGTGTTTGTTAACAGGGAGGAGCAAGTTGGCTGGAGAAGTTAAACCACCGATGCAGAATGGGAGATTCCTGCAGCTACTTCAAGAGACTCCTACACCTAGCTACAATGTCAGAAAGACGACACCAGTTTTGACTGTTGGCTGAGGTGCCAGCAGCCACCATTTGCGGCATGCTGCCTCCTTCCCTGTTGCACATGCGTGCCTTCAATCTCCACCTGCACCCACAGTGGCTAATTTTGGTTATTGTCTTGACCGGAACCAGCCACTGGGCACACCTGTGAGGGGTTTACCTGATCAGGCAATTAGGAATGAGAAGACACCTGGGCCCCCAAACATGGGCACCTTCCTGAGGCGCCTCGACAAAAGGAGGGCTGGGGGAAGCTCTGCTTTTTGCCTTGTTGTCTCACTAACAAGGTCATCTGCCCTCTTACTGCCGATGCCGCTGCCTTCCCCACTCACTTCCCCACTCACACTCAGGATTCTTTGGGTTTCCAGCACAGACAGAAGACCAGTGGCTCTCTCAGACTCAGCAGCTACCACCATGTGCTCAAACCCTCTTGCATGGAGAGGACCATTATCCAACAGTCGGGCTATACTGTATAAACCAAACCAATCCAATCACACACACACACACACACACACACACACACACACACACACACGCCTCTGTTCATTCTGTTCCTCAAGATAAAGACCTCTAACAAATATAGTGGCTGTGAAAATCTCCAGCTGTCTCCAGAGTCCCTGCTGTACCTTGTGGCTCTCAAGTCCTCCCAAGCCCCTGTTATTCTCCGAGTTTGGGGTCTTTTAAAAGCAAAACAAAGACTTGAGACTTTTCAGCCCAGCCTGGGCAATCTTTCTGACTCAGCCATTCACCTAAATATGTGTTTGTTGAGTTCCTACTGTTTTCAGCAGGCTCCAGGCACTTGCCTCTTAAGCGGAGGGGCCACTCTGCAGAGTGGGGTGTCAGGAAAGATCCCTGGAGGAGAGGACGTTTGCACTATCCCTTCAGGGGTGGACAAGGAGAAGATGAAGTGGAAAGGTACTCAGAGCAAGAACAGTACATGCCAAGGCCTGGTGGTAGGAAAATGGGTTTCTTTGGAGATTAACAAATGATGGGGGATGGCTGAAGGTGCAAGACAAGGCTAGGGAGAAGTGAGGAGACCAGGGGGTGTCCACCACTAAGAGTCAGAGTAAGGAGACTAGAGTGGGATTCATCCCACTGAGAAGAGCAAATGACAGGTGGATCAGGCATGGTGATACACACCTGTAATCCCAGCACTCAGGAAACTGAGGCAGGACAATTGATGCAAAGCCTGCTGGAGCTACAGAATAAGACTCTGTTTCAATTGCAAATAAAGCAATAGGCAAAGGGGCTGGAGTGATGGCTCTGTGGTCAAGAGTGTTCAGTGCTCTTTTAGAGAACCTGGATTCGGTCCCGGCACTCACATGGTGGCTTACAATCTCCTAGAACTCCAGTTCCAGAGGATCTGATGTCTTCTCCTCACATCCATAGGCTCCTGCATTCACATGGTGCATATATACACCCAGGCACACACGTGCATATTAAATAAATAAAGACAGAACAAAAGGAACAATTACAAAGAGCCGCGGCAGACTGAGTGGTCACTGCATCCCTCGTTCAGTCTTCACAAACCTCCTCCAGCCGTTAACTGACCTTTAACCAACAGCTGCCAACACACATACCCAGCACACAGGCCCTGGGTTTCTACACAAATATACCCTAACATGGCTCTCTCTGCTCTGAAGATGCCCTGGCCTCTGTGGGTCCCTGTCCCTAACCTGGTCATGCTCATTGTCACCCAAGCTGGCTGGAAATGTTTCTTTCCTTCAAATCCCCATTATTAGATTATTAGCTCCATACTTGTACTTGGCTCTGGGTAGCAGCAGAGGGCAGAAGAGACCCATACATAGCTTGACAACTTCGTCCCAGCCTGCTAAACACAATCCAGAGGACAGGACTCCTGCAGCAATTCTTAGATACCAGTGTACCCGGAATCCGGGGATCTCATCAGAAATGGATTCCAATTCAGGAGCTGTGGGGTGTGGCAATAGCGGACATTGCTAATCAGGCCCCAGGTAAGGGCCAGGAAGATGATTCAGCCAGGAAAGCACGAGCTGCCAAGACTGATAACTTCAGCTCCCTGGGACAGGCGTGGTGGAAAGAGAGAATCAACTTCTGCAATTATCCCCTGATATTTACAGCACACACATAAATACATAAATGCAACTGTAAGTGAAATACATTTTTAAAAATGCCAGGTAATCCCAAGGCTCTGGGCTTGTGGAACACCCAAATGAAGAAAAAGTCATTTTCCACGTTGACAGAAAAGCACATCTTAAAATTTCCAACCTATGGGAATCCAATGCTCTTAGAAAATAAAAAAAAAATTACAACAAAGATGAACATTTCAGAAAGCATATAAACAGTATTATTTGACTCCATGACCCTACTATTATTACCTGATAAAATGACATCAGCCAGCAGAGGGCGCCCTCTGATCAGTTACTCCCATGAAGACCAGGCAAGCTTCAGAAACAAAATTGTGTGTGTGTGTGTGTGTGTGTGTGTGTGTGTGTCGAATGCACACACAAGTATGGAGTTGGTGCCCTCTTCCACACTCACATAGATGCTGGTATGGAGCTCAGGTCAACAAACTTCTACAGAGCATTTTAATCTCTGACAGTCTCAGAGTCAAGTAGTAACTGTTCTTAAGGAGTAGTCTCCAACTTTTGAACACCTATGGTGATGGGTAATCTTCATGGCCAACTTGACTGAGTTTAGAATAACCTAGAAGACACACCTCTGGGCTTGGCTGTTAGATGTTTCCAGAGGTGTATAACTGAAGTGGGAAAACCTACCCAGAGTGTGGACAGAACCTCATCAGGGGCTGGAGTCCCAGGCTGAATAAAAATGAAAAGAATCAGGCTTAGCAGCAGCAGCCATCTCCCTCTGCTGCTTTCTTGGCTGTGAACCCTGCAAGAACAGTCACCCCATGGTCCTGACGAAGGCTTCCCCACCTGATGGACTGCAGCTTCCAACTGTGAGCCAAAGCAGCCCTTGCTTCCTCAAGATGTTTCCACTGGACATTCTGAGGGCAGTAACTGATACACCTACCTTGCAACTCTTCCTCGGAGATCTCCCAAACCAGAGAGCTGGCGCATCTCCAGTGTCTTTAAGGCAGAATTAGTTCCATAGCTGATGTTGTCCCTGGCACGGATCTGCTCCTGGAGAACCTGGGCAACACAAAGGTCACTCAAGGTCACTGGCAAATTCACAGTTGTCCACAAACATTTTGCAATTCAGGAAAGTACATGAGTGCACACGCCATCTTTTCATAAGGGTGTTGTTTTGTTTGTTTAAAACTAAGGGTCTCACTATCAGCCCTGGCTGGTCTGGAACTTGCTGTGTAGATCAGACTGGACTTGACCTCACAGTGATCTGCCTGCATAAGGCATTCTTTTTAGAAGTGAACTGATAAACACAGATAAACAGAGAGGACCAGGAGGCCTAAAAAGAGGTACCACTTCCAACTAAGAGTCCCCAATTTACCAATAAAACTATGCACTTTTAGTTTTCTAATATTTTTCCTTAGTAAGAAGGGATTTTATCTTTCACACACTGCCTGTATGCCTTAAGCTGAGTGTAGACTTGTTTATTTGTCCTTTGAGATAGTATCTCACTATGTGACCAAGGATGGCCTCTGGTTTGTCTTCCTCCTGCCTTGGCCTCCCCGTTTTAGGGATTACAGGCACAGGCCACCATTTCCAGCCCCTGTTTTATTTTATATCCTTTTAATTTCAGTTTTAATTTTCTCTTTGATTTAAGAATGCTTGGATATCTAAAGGTTACTTAGAATTAGAGGGCTGGCTTGGAGGCAGGGCTGTCTAATCCTAACACTCGGGAGGCTAAGGCAGGAGGCTATTGAATTTGAGGCTAGCCAAGGCTACATCACAAGATTCTGTCTTTAAAAACTAAAACTAGCTAGGCAGGAGTGGCACAGGCAGGCCTTTAATCCCAGCACTCAGGAGGCAGAGACAGGTGGATCTATCTCTGTGAGTTCAAGGCCAGGCAAGTCTACTGAGCGAGTTTCAAGGCAGCCACCAAAGCTACAGAGAAACCAAGTCTCAAAAAACCAGAAGGCATATGCTTAGTCGGTGAGTTTTCGGAGCCCGAATTCCGTGCCCAGTAGGACCCGAGGGAGGCTGTGCCGCTAGAATGAAGTTCGTGAGGTTTTTGATGAAACTGAGTCATGAAACTGTAACCATTGAGTTGAAGAATGGAACACAAGTCCACGGAAAAATCACAGGTGTAGATGTCAGCATGAACACACATCTTAAAGCTGTGAAAATGACCCTGAAGAACAGAGAGCCTGTGCAGTTGGAAACTTTGAGTATTTGAGGAAATAACATCTGCTATTTTATTCTACCAGACAGCTTACCGCTAGATACATTACTTGAGGATGTTGAACCCAAGGTGAAATCTAAGAAAAGGGAAGCTGTTGCAGGAAGATGTCGAGGCCAAGGTAGAGGAAGAGGACGTGGTCGTGGCAGAGGAAGAGGGGGTCCTAGGCGATAATGTCTTTTAAGATTACTCTTTTAAAGTGATAAAGAATTGGGGGATATTTTTTGTACAGGTTTTGTTTGTTTGTCAGTTTTTAATAAACATAAGTGTGGGGAAAAAACAAACAAACAAAAACAGATGAAGAAGAGGAAGAAGCCCTGAAGCTAAAAACATATATGTCTCTTTATTTAAGCTGTTAATATTTTGTGTGGGGTTGGTTTTATAATTTTTATTACATTTTATTTAGTGATAAGTAGGATGTATGGGTCAGAACACAACTTTCTGGAGCTGATTCTCCTTCTACCATGCATGCTGGGGACAAAATTCAAGAATTCAGGAGTGGTGGCAAGTGCGGGTCCATCTTACTTTACTACTTAAGTCTCACTGTACTGGCTTATGATAGTCTATAAGACATTTTATAGTTTTAAATATGCTAAGTTTTGCTTTGTGGCACATGACTGAGTTGTTGAATTTTTATTTACGTGTGTGTGTGTGTGTGTGTGTGTGTGTGTGTGTGTGGTGTGTGTGTGTGGATAACCATGTATAGTTGGAATTTTCTTTGGGCCACCAACCAGCTCCCAAATAAAGACATGGAGACTTATTATTAATTATGAAAGCTTGGCCTTAGCTTAGGCTTGTTCCACTAGCTCTTGTAACTTAATTTAACCTGTTCTATTAATCTGTGTTTTGCCTTGGGGCATTTTACCTTTCTTTCACTCTATATGTCCTACTTTCCTGCTCCCTCCCTGTCTGTCTGTCTGGCCTCTGGTGCCTCCCTTTCTTTCTTTTCTGAGCCTAAAATCCTCTTCCTACTTATTCTCCCTGCCTAGAAGAAGTCCCATCTATACCTCCTCCCTTGCTATTGGGCATTCAGATTTTTATTAGACCAATCAAGTGCCTTAGGCAGGCAAGGTGAAACAGCAACACATCTTTACATAGTTAAACAACTATTCTGTAACACCCATGAAATCCAGGCAAGGGTGTCTGGTGCTCCAGAACTGGAGTTCCGGGTGGCTGTGATCAGACCGTGGTGGTGCTGTGAACAGAATCGACCTGGACCACGGGGTCCAGTGTCTACAATCCCACTCTGCTCTTCAAAACCCATTTTAACTCTGATCTTGGTGAACTTTTAAAACTTTCTTTTTTCCTTTGACTCACACATAATTCTCCTGCGTAGCCAATATTTCTTCTCTGCTCCTGTCATTCCATTTGGCACCTGGCTGCACCAAAACTTGCCCTTCTTGACAGCTTCACTCTGAATTTGACTGTCACCTCTCTGGAGCTTCTTCCACTTTTCCCTGGAACCCACTAAACTCTCTTTTTAAAAAGATTTCTTTATTAAATATACAGTGTTCTGCCTAAATGTATACCTGCACACCAGAAGTATGTACTCTGGTTTCTCTTCAGAGTGAATAAATCTTTCACTTTTTCTAAACTCTTCAGTTCAAGGCAGCTGTTTCACACTGCGCTCATGGGTCCTAAATATATAAATTGCTCTTTTATTCCTGGTCCTAGGGTTCCCTCTGTCGGAAGGCATGGCTCTCCTGCTCTGGCTGCCGAGTCCTTGGATGAGATGGAGCTCTTCTTCCTCTGCTCCTTGGAGTGCTTGGGTGGGTATCCCTGACAATAGTGGGCAGCCGGTGAGGGACCCGTGCCAGCTCCCAGCCGAAGACTGAGAGGAAAAGTCGGCCTCCACAGTGTCTCCTCACCTCCCTCACAGGGTAAGAGACTGGCGCATAGAGGGAGGCAGTGAGCCTGGCTGCTGCTCAGACTCTTCCAGCCTGCTTGTGACTTCCCCCGATTAAGGCTTTGCTGCCACTGCCACACCCTCTCGTCTGTGCTGTCCAGGTGCTGGGGAAGGTGGCACAAGGACTGTGGCTAGTGAGGAGGCTGTGGCACTGAGTCACCAGTGTCCCTCACCTCCTGTGCCAACATGGGCACTTGTCTCCCTGGTATTGTTCAGTTTGGTAACACTTACATTTCATTGGCACTGACCCATTGTTTCCTAAGGCTCTTAATTTTTGAATGAACGAACCTGCTCTATGAAGAACAATGTGAACCAGCTACAATCACCTATGAATGACAAAACGTTACTCATCTGAGCACACTCCTGCAAAGAGACTTCAGATCTGATTAATTCATCTCTGGTACTCTCCCACTGATGAAAGGTGCTGGAGGAGTGCTCTCTCTCTCTCTCTCTCTCTCTCTCTCTCTCTCTCTCTCTCTCTCTCTCTCTCTCTGGGCTCAAAGGAAAGTGATACCTATTAGAAGCAGTGAATAGAAAGAAACACTCATCCTTTGTTTGGGCTTGTTCAACCTTTTGTTGATAATAATAAGACACAGGCCACAGTGCTCAAAGGTCCATGTCACCCAGAAGACCCATTTCACACATCCAGGTCATATCCCCAGAAAGCCAAAGCTAAAGAACAGGCCTGAAGGTAGATGCAAAAGAGGCTCAGGCCTGTCCTAGGGTACCACTGCATTAGATGCTAAGAAACGGAGGCTTTACTTTGGTTTTCAGTCCCTTAATGAAGAGAATGGAAAGGAATTCACAAAAAGGGGTGCTTAAAATAATTCACGCAGTCAACGTAACCAGAGAAACCAAAACCATACAGTGGGGGCTGAGGGTGTAGCTCAGTTGCTAGACTGCTTGAAGAGCATGCCCAAAGCTTTGGGATCATCTGAGCACACACGGCAGTGGCATGACAGGGTTCTATCCCAAACCTGACACGGCAGCACACATCTGTAATCCCAGCATCTGGAGGAGGAGGAAGGAAGATCAGAAGTTCAAGGTCTTCCTCAGCTATTCAGTAATGAGTTTGAAAGATCCTGAACCACTGTGAGGCAGGAGGCTAGTACTGGGAGTAGCTGAGGGGGGGTGTTTTTGGGGGGCGGTGCATGGGGCAGAGGTGCTAGATATGAGGGCAGGGGCTGAATGGAAGTATCTATGCTTTCTGTTGCGCTGTGAACCTAAACTAGCTCAAAAAACCAAACCAAACAAACAAAAACCCCATAAAGTCCCTGTTTTATCACTTCTTTGTTTTGCTATACTGGACACTGAACACAGAGCTTTACATATAGCACTTATCTATACACCCAGCCCAAAGTCTACAAGAAAAAAAAATCTGGCACATGCCTTTAATCCCAGCACTTGGGAGGCAGAGAGAAGCAATTGGATCTCTGTGAGTTGAGGCCAGCCTGGTCTACAGAGTGAATTCCAGGACAGACTCCAAAGCTTAAAAAAAAAAAAACAAAACAAAAAAAAAAAAAAACCCTGTCTCGAAAAAAAAAAAAAAAAATATATATATATATATATATATATATATATATATATATATATATCCCATATTTATTATGGCTCAGTTGGTAAAGTGCTTGCCATGCAAGAAAAATAATTCCAGCTCCATCCACAGCATCCATGTAAAAGCTAGGCATGTCCACATCAGCTGTAACCCCAGCATTGGGGAAGCAGAGACAGGAAGATCCTTGGAGCTCTAGATTCAAAGTGAGACCCTGTCTCAAATCTATGATAGAGATGGATTCAGAAAAGTGCTCATGTCAATCTATGACCTCTACATACACATGCATGAACATGTATGCACTGCATATACTCTTTTTAATAAATTAAAAATAAAATATTTTAATTGTAATCCCAAAAGCACAACAAAAATAA